GCGATACAAAATTCAAATTATGTTTTATATCTTAACGACTTTTCAATACTCTATTGGCTGGCCATTGCGTTAGTGTTTTAATGGGTTAGTTAATTTATTAACGAGCCATTAAACAACACAAACCTAGCAATAATGTAACGCATATATACACAAGAAGAGTAAACAATGTTGTATTTTCCGTGTTATATGTATTTTTATATGTTATCATGAAGTTGTTATAATAAAATGGCAATATCGGTTTCGACTTCAGCTCAATTTAAATATCTGTAAGCTTAAAACCGTAGTACCATTTATTCAACCAATCAATCAATGACCCTTTAATCTTGAATGTCTTAAATGGTTTTTTAATCCACTGTTTTCTTATTACAAGATGTCTCTTAATTCAGTGTGCTCTCGGCATAGGCCTCCTCTGATATCTTTCCTTCCTTTCAATCTCCAGCAGCTCTGCTTCAGTTTGGACCAGCTGTTATTTTATTACATTCTTCCATCCCACTATCACAATACAAGTTATTACCTATGGATCTAGATATTTTCAATACATAAACAATACAGTAGTATTGAATGTGGTGCCTATTTCATACACTTGTTTTTATTTTTTGTGCTTTGAAATTAATTTAAAATGTTTCAACCATCCACACAAATGCTATTTAGAACCAACAACAGTAAGCTGCGTAAGGGATTACTATAAATAAATAATACTAAAATTAAACTGGGTTACTCTTCATAATCCGTCCTGCTGAGCCCCACATTCGCTAAGCATGAGTTTGCATGTTTGCCTACACTCTACCCGATGAAATTAGTCTTGCAACGTCGAACTTTGCCTCTGTTTAATATTAAAGGCTAACTAAAAGTATTACAATATGAGAAGATGCTAAAAATCTCAGTCTAGTGCTGACTGTTTGTAATAATTTATAAACTTAGGTTTTAATTTTGTAACAAAATATAAAAGCAAAATGGGTTAGTGTTCGTATCGTTACATTAATGGAAAAGTAAAGTTGATCATGTAATCACAATCAGGTTTTAATTGTATAGTGTCCAACGGTCTAAGACATTTGACTTTCAACCAGATGTCCCATCGAAATTTTTAATAAAAGTATCAACACTCCTTGAATTTCAAACGCAAAGTTTTGACAATGAATTTAAATAATATATTGTACCCTATTTGTACTAAGTTCTTTTTGTGTACCCAAACTTAATAAATGATAAAAAAGGTAAAAAGATAGTACTACACACATTTATAACTTATAACAAACTATATAGCCCAATAGAGATGTCCTGTACTCGTACTTGCCACGTCAATATTTCTATAACTTTAAATTATCTAATGAAATCTACCTACCTACTTCTCTCCGAATTACTCAACTTTCCAAGCAACAGTCTTACCCAACCCCACCAAGTACACAACTAATGTTTACTTACTGCTAACTCAAGCAATCAAGTTTAACTAGAGGGGTTAACAAGGATACTATTTGACCCATGTTTCATGTATCCTTGAATAAGCTGATTTGAAAGTAAAATCTGCTTTCTGACTTTTACAAACATTGAATACATTTATTTTTATGGCAAAGGCGGCAACAAGCAGACGGGTCACCCGATGGTAAGTGACTACCGCCGCTCATGAACACCCGCAGCTCAAGAGTCACAAGTGGATTGTCGACCTTTGAGTCCCACCTACTAGAATCAGGGGAGGGGCGGTTTAGACTCCGCTACCCTCATTCACTTGATCAAAAGCAGCAAAAGAATTTCTTAACGCAGATTTTCTGTGTGGCCGTTTCGAACCAACCCATTTGTACTGAAGCATGGCACACCCGCTGGAAACTTCTACTTCTCTTACAAATTACACTATTTCTTTATCAAGTTGATTCCATATTCATCCGCTTCCAAATTCCACAGGTGTACCGAAACTCTTTAGAGAGACTTTTGTCCTTTAACTTCCTTAAAGAGTCTGTGGCGACTTCCACATACAAGAAAACAGAAACAACCTACAGCGCCATCTAACGGAGACATGCCGAACTACAGAGTAACTCCTGCATGAGGATTGCTAATCGATTAGCATATATACAACTTCACAACATTAACCAAAGGGCCGCTGCCTGCCGGGCATGATCACTTCGCCTGGTCGGAGGATCCCCCCTTTGTGTTGGAGGGAGATGACACCCGTTCCTCCACAAGTCAAAAGAATGGTTCTGGCAACAGGTAAAAATGATGTACGATTTAAGTACAGGTAGAAATTTGCTAAAGATGGTTCAGTCCCTAAGAAAGTTTAGCTCGATTAGTTCTTATTAAATGTCTAGTTTTTTACATACACTACGTATTTGAATTATTAAAAAAAAAAACTAAATTCAGAAAAAGTTAATATAATGTTAGTACATACAAAAAAAACTTAACTACTCATTTTAACCAACTGAACAAGAAGGACGTTCTCAATACAGCTCTATTTCTTATGTTTGTTACCTTAAAAGTTAGTATGGCGAATTTAAAATACCTATCTGTAGAATAAAACAGTTTTACGAATCTTAAGCATAATTGAAAGAGGTTTCTAATCGGCAAATAGCGGGTCCTCAGACTTTACGAGTTTAATAAAGACATTCCCGTGTCGTAAGTAAATCACTTAGCTCACCTGACCCTTACTATTTGTTGGCAGTTAGTCGGTTCTCGCTGCAATTACCAAGGACAAACTTATGGGTTTTTGAAATAAAAGAATAGAAAATAGGGTAGTTGACTGTATCTCAAATAAATAACGATGTCCGCTTTATTAAAACTAATATCACAAAACATCCCGGAAAATATCATTATTGTAGCTTTTTATGACCATTACGTTTATATCAAATAAACATTGGAATATATTCTAAAATAGAGTAGTCTAAAATAGTGACGTCATAAGTTGTAATTTAATACATATTTCATACAAAATTGTCGTTATGCCACATGATAAAAAATAATTAATTTGACTAAGGTGTCAACTACCCTATTGTTCAATCTTAAGTACTCGTAAACCTTTAGAGACTCTTAATACTGCAATTTATAACAAAATATTTTAGAAACACACAACTAATGGAATTGAAAAAATTTACAGAAATAAATACATATCTAATAAAGCCATTTTTCAAAAAAAAAAATTAGTCACTTCTTATAACATTGGCTATTCGCAAGTGAAAATCTACCCGTTCTAAAGATTAACCCAAACAACCAACCAGACAGGCAAAAATTTAGTTTTTGTGTAAAAAGTTCGCATCACTTATTCGAGCCCTTCGTTCAGCAGGAGACGACAAGTCCGACATGCCACCGATAAGTGGTATCCGAGGGGATTTCCGCACGGAAAAAAAAAAAGGGGACGACAATAGGCTGAAAAGAGAGACTTATTACACAAAAAAATATTTTTATATTAAGTCAGATATATTCTGTAAAAACAATTATTTAAAATACACATTCAATTTTATTTATCTTTGTATAGAACTACTTCTAATATTATGTTTACATGACAAAAACTACAGATAGGAAGCCACGGAGAATTATCACAATCAGTGATGACAGTATATGAACGAATGAATGGATGAATACAATCAATGAACGCCAATCTGCAAGTAGAAGTGTACAAGGAGTGTTCGCCTAATCCATCATTTGTTCTGTAATCAACTTACACTTAATTTTTTAGAATGCAGGAGAATGTAAATTTAACTTTCTGTGAGAAGGTTTTTAGACAGACTTTAGACAGAGATTAGTATAAATAATGTGCGTATTTTACATGAATTTAATATTACGTCTCATTAAACATGTCATTTACCAGCTGTGTAACATCATTACTGAAAGTATAGAGTTACTCATTATACGGCGTAAGTCGTTCTTTGTAACATATTTAAATATTATTAAGTTTGCGATAGAATAAAAAAATGTTGCGAACATTCTTTAAATCAGTGTGGGTTAAACATGTAGGAGAAATAAATCGCGCTTTTTAGATAAAGTGTCTCGATCTAGACTCTGACGATTTTCTTTATTGTTAGCTCTATAATAGTGGTAGTGAGCTTATGATTTGGTTTATTCCTTTTAACTCATTTTATGTTGGTACCCCGTAGGTACAATATTGGATACCAGCTTCTACAAACAGCTTGGCTCATGTTAATTTCCAGATTGTCAACCACATATTTATTGACAAATTGTAAGTCTATGTGTTTTTTAAAATCATCTTATAAATCATCTTAAACTTGTGCATTTATAATATTAGTAGGATTTTGTGATTCATATTGAAACAAGTAAATATGTATTCCCCGATAATTGCTACTATCATAAATATAAACACTGACTGAGGCACCTGATAACTATTCGTGGGGAATCCACTTGGAATTCATGATGCAATGGATTTGGAATCCTTACGTTATTATTCTCATCTCGATTTAAATATAAAACACATATCAGTTGTATTTGATTCTGGAAACAAAGCCAAATAAAAGCTTTAAGCAAAAAAAGTATACACGTAGTGTATAGCACAAACAATTTTTTTATATTTATTCAAACTATAACAAAAACTATCTAGTTATTAGAGTAAAACTGTTATGATATTCAAATTTATTTTAATAATGACATAATGATATATTTTGGAAATGACGACTGCCCATAGTTTCGGACACGATGGGGGAATTTTTCAAAAACTATTTTAGCAATCCCTAAAGAGATTCTTGAGTGAAATGCGTAAATCTATAGTTTTTTATATAGTTTATCTTCAGAGATAGATTTTTGTTTTACATTTGAATAGGACCAAACAAGTATAGGGTATACTGCCCGTTTGGTCAAATAAAACAAATTCATTTCAAAATCGGTTTATGAATGATGGATTTCGAAAGTGAAAAACATATTTTTTTAGTTTTTACCTCCGAAATCCATCATACAGTCGAAATGAGAACCTCCTCCTTTTTCGAATGTAAAATGATATGAATACCAAAATGATATTTTAATGTGTTTATTAGTTTTATTTTGTTCAACTTTATTTCACTTATAAACGACAACTAAATAAGTAAATTCATTTTGAGGTGTCTTCGGGCCCGTCTGAGTTCCCTTCTGCCTCGGAGTGTTCGTTTATCCCTCGGAGGTGAAGCTCTACTTGGTATATACACCCAGTCAGGACATCTGCAATATAATATTTTTTTAAATTAAATGCGAAAGAAATTCGTCTCAAAATATTTATCCGCAACCACATAGTAAAAAACCAGCCAAGTGCGAGTCGGACTTGCTCACGAAGGGTTTCGTACCATTATCGATAAACGAAACATTCTGTGAATATTTCAAGCGCGTCTACCTGTTGCCGTTATCAATATCGAGCAAAAACGAGCAAAAAAAACACGTTTCTTGTATGGAAGCCACCTGAAATATTTATTTTATTCTGTTTCAACAGAAAGACATCATTTGTGAAAATTTCAACGTCTAACTATCACGTTCATGAGGGACAGCCTAGTGACAGATGGACAGACAGATAGACAGACGGACGGACGGACAGCGGAGTCTTAGTAATAGGGTACCGTTTTACCCTTTGAGTACGGAACCCTATAAACAAACGATGTTATTATTATTAAGTAATTATAATAATTTTGCTATCTAAATATTAAAAAAATGTAATTTCTATGAGAACCAGCAATAAAGAATAATAATTGTTATTATTATTAAATTATATATAACGGATACGGAAAAAAGTAAGTATAGATTTGTGTTCTCCCAACAGTTACGCATATCCGGCATATCACCAGTTACTTTATAGTATGTGTTTTATTCTAATTTTCGGTTTTCTGATTGTGAATCAGATCAGATCAAGGTAGACTGCACAGATGGCGCAATGGCTTCAGGCTACGCCTCTACATCACACCTGGTTTCGTGGCTATTCGTAATTCGATTTCTGCGTCCCACATATAGGTAGTTGTCGGGCATCCATATATTCTATCCGTGTGACGACAGGAGTGTCACCACCCTATTCATCGCGTGGGTATCGAAGAGGCGACTAAGGAAGCAAACCACGCAGAACAATATCACTGCAAAGAGAATAAACATGAAACAAACCCTATACCAACCTGTCTGGCCAGCTTGCAGTATAGTAGGCCAAAGCCTCCTTCATAAGGAGTCCTGTGTCGAGCAGTGGACTACGGTAGAGTATTTTAGACAGTGTGAACGTTGAATTCTATATTTATACGACATTTTTCTAGAGGTGTCGATTCGCAATCTAATAAATTCAGTTTGTGCGAATCGACCACTAATAAGTATTTATTTTAAAATGGGTCGTAATTTTTGGCACTAATTTCAACGTTGTATTTTACCACAACTTCTCAGAGAGGTATTATTATTATTGTATCAAGTTTTTTTTGCTCATGGAATAAGTCTATTGTATTTGCCTCGTCACGATATCATTGTAAAGAACCCGATACCTGTTCATCTGATGCTTATCAAGTGACACGATTGAAATCAAGGATGTTATTTTATGTTTTTTTTTATAGACATACACCGATATAGATATTACCTACTATACGTAGTTCTAATACTGAAGATTTAAATTACTAAAAAGGTGAGACAGGTGCAGCAGTTTTCAAACTCACATTGAATTAACTGTAAATTAAAACACATATTTTAATGTAGTTTTAGGCTCAAAGTGATAAAGAGTACATAAGAGTATATACGTCGTTATATATGATATAAGCCGTTCTACAAATCATAGTTAAAGTTAAACATATAGGCAAGTTGAACAGTATCTAAGCACAAGTTGTTTATATTATTTCTACTACGAGTATTTAGCTATGGAGAAACAAATGAATATTTACATACACACATACAGATATATTTGAAATGCTGAGCGAGGGTCAAGTCGCTCTTCTTGTGTTTATCTGTCTCTTATTTCTGTATTCTCTTTTCAATGTATATTTTGAATAATGAATGTAAGTGTAGTGATGTGTTGTGTATATATTTAAATAAGTTTGTATAATCAAATAGTATTAAGTCTTAATTACAAAATACTCAGAAAACTCTGATCTACAAATTGCGACTCCCTATCTCATTCCTATTCTCCTTCTCCATCCAGTGGTTGCCAGGAAGAGATGTTTCATTTATATTACATTAGATTATAAGACACACCAATGTATACACACTGTATTATTGTTATGTTTTTATTGTACAATAACGCCTCAATTTACGCCTCGCTACCTCCAGTGTCTACGGAGAAAACCACATTCTATTTGCTTCTGTCCTTCTATACCTGACCCGAACCCATACCCGAACTTTCTACCTATATCAGGCAGGAACTCTAGAGGTTTTGAACCATCACACAAATATCAAGAAAAGGGATGAAAAATATACCTACTCGTATATGGTTCTAAACCAAGGTACAAGTTGCCCACAGGCTGAAGTTTTGTGCTTGCTTTGCTGAAGTTTAATTTTCATATGTACTGAATAAAGTTTTTTGTAAAACATTTTAGTAAGATCGGTTGGTTCGGTAGTCATACATGATCAGGTGACCTTTCTTTTTTTTGGTTAACGGGCTGGAAGATCCTCATCCTCTTGGATGTCCTTCGCCCATTGGGGGGAAGGGGTCTGTCAGACTCTTACCGACTAAAAACCACCTCGGTGTTCCTCTGCTTTTTACAATGGCCGAGGGTGCGAGAATCGTAATTGCATTCTTCATCTGGTCGTTTGCCACTATACTATAAAAAAATAAATAATTAACTTACTTCTCTATATCAGGTAACTGCTGGCCCTTGCACCTCACCTCCCATTTCGGCCAATACTTAAAACCTTCTAGATCGAATACCCTCTGTGCGCACTGAGCATCGTCCTTTATGTCCTCGTCAAGCAAAGCTGAAATATATAAACACAATATTACTTATACCTACATTTATTATTTTATTAACTCCTCATCTTATCCATCTCAATTTCTGTAACTTTGAAACGTATAAAAATGCTGTTACAAATAATAAATATAAAGAAATATATTAGTACACTCGAACATAGAACCTCCTCCTTTCTTCAAGTCGTTTAAAAATAAAATCTATGGTAGAGGACGCTTTCGACTATAAAACAGTCCAATACTAATAATAATATAATAATAATACTACCCTTTTTTTTCCGTGCGGCAATCCCCTGGGATACCACCTATCGGTGGCATGTCGGACTCGAAGCGACTAAAACCGCACGCCGTCTCGGGTACTAATAGCCGGGGAACCAGGTATACCCTAGAAAGGAAGTCCCTGGTGCCCCGACAATAATACTACCCTAATATATGTATTATTCACCCATTTAAAATAAAGTAAACAAAAAACTCGTTTTTTTGCACGGCTTTATATTCATTAAAGGATAGGCAGCGCAATGAATGAAGTTATACAGAGTTAATGAATTTTAAAAAATATGCTTCAGTAGCGAACTTATTTAAAAAGTTAAAAAAGTGGCTAAGTGAGATCTACATCCAAACGTATTGTCCTGGAATTGTTTGAAAGGCATTTGTAGTAAACTACCTGTTTTAAACAAGTCAAATCTGCATCTGGTTTTTTAAGGTTTATTTGTGTGCATTTTGTAATTAAAAGACTTGATATTCAATATAAACGATTTAATCAATCAATGTATAAATGTTGATAAATAAATCGTTTGCATTGTTGTTCGTTGTTTAGCATTTTAATGCTGCTTGCATTCTTAAACCAACAGACCTAACTTAGCCAAAATACTTATTTTTGTCTGTGTTTGTTACTTCGAAAGTGTAAACTCTGTAAATAATAACTATATATAACGACATCTCCTGGTTTCATTATGTTAAAATTAAATTTGTAAATATTAAAATGTAGTATGCATAAGGATGAAACGCATAATAACATTCTTTCTCTGTATCGCCCAATCGTTCGACTGCCAGAGAATGTCTTAGGCATTAAGTACACCGATTTATCTATTCATTTAAGAGCCAAGCCCTTTTTGGTGGAGCAATCGCCTCTCCTCTCTATTTCCTGCCATCTGTTTGACCTCACGATAGACGATATATTTGTGCATAAACTCATAAAGAAAATAAGGTAAAATTAAATCTTTCGAATCAAATATTAATCGTACAGTCTTAAAATTTAAACGAATAAATATTCATACCTATATCCGTCACTGACGAAACCACATAACTATGAACAATTGTGAATAATGAAACAGACACCTAACAACACTACGAATTATATTGAAGAGCTGATCTTTGAACTCTATAAGTTACTTCCCACCGTTTTAATTAAACACTTAGCTGCGAACTAAATGTAAATCAGAGAAACATATACTATCGCGAATGGTTTTTAAATTAGTTATTATGTTTATGGGAAATAACACGCTTACGGTATTGTAGTCAAAATAATTTTAAATGTGCATTTTGACAGTTGGAGTTTAGGGTTGGGGTACAAAGCCATAGTAAGAATAATTAATTTTTTTAATTATTTATTTATTACAAACTATGGAGGATTTACAGCTATGATGATCACAATAAAAGCAGTTAAGAAAACAGATAGCCAATTACAAATTCTCACTTATATAAATCAGAGATAAGTTACAGTGCATAAGACAATACAGAATATGATCAAGAGGTATTATATAAGTTACAGGCACAGATCACTTACAAATTACACAGAACGTAATAATATACACACAACACAGACAGGACCCATAACAATAACTACTCGGACCCCTCACCATCACCCCTGAAGAATTTAAGGCTTAAACACCTCCTCGCTCCCGTTACACTAACATTAAAAATATCAATTCCAAATTGTTCACACACATCATTGAGGCTTCTAAATGAACGAATAACAGTCAGTGCAAATGGTACACTCAGCGGTGGGTTATAGCGAGTTCTTGACGGAATATTAATATTAAACTTAGATAAGAGTTCGCAGCAGTCAATTTCGTTACTAATTTTTTTTAATAATAGGGTACAATCAGCGATTTCATAATCATAATCAATTCAGATTACAAATGAATTTACGATCATCAATAAATACGAATCATTGTGAATCGTTTTAAAATAGCTATACTTGTGGCTATTCAAGGCAATTTCTCTGAACCACAAATATATCTAAGAATACAAACTCAAGAGCGTAGGTGAAAATACCTTTTATGACAGTTGCGAGATCTAGAGTTGATCCGAACTGAATTGTGACCGAACTTTAATTACGAGTATTGACCTTCTGGTCAATACTCGTAATTAAAGTTCATATACACTTAAACATAATTGTATCTTATTGAACGCGATAGCTTTAAAAGTTTTTAAATTACAAAAATATACAGTTTCACTCTCCATTACCTCCATAATAATTACATAGCCACTTTATTACTATAATGAATGACTTCACAAAACTTTAAATATTTCCTAGGGTTTTTATATGTAATTATTTTAGTAAATATAATAAATAATCGATTAGTTAATAAAAAGTAGTATTTCATTGCATGCAAAAACTTATTTTGATTTTCATACCATTCTATATAATATATTTATTTTATCGTACTTTCTATATTATTAAATTAACAATATACACAATAACAACGCAGCCTGCGATTGTTACATTGTAACAGTTTATTGTATCCAACTATATGATTTGATTTGCTATAAATATCTATCTACCTATATAATCGCATTTTTTTATCCCTATGATCCCCACAGAAAGATCAAATAACACATTTCTAGTGATAGTTACGTTGTAGCCTTCGTGGTTACAATTAAATAAAGTATTTTTCCAACAACTCACATTCACATGTGATGTCACACTTCCCTCCTTTTTTGCCTTCCTTGCACCATTCACTTCCTATCTGAAACAAAAAAATTATACTTGTCACATAACGAAGTTAATAAATTGATTCACTACATAAACAAATATAAACTATTTGATAAACAGACATTGTTGCTATTGTGTGTGTTGTTCTACGACTTTAGAGTCTACATAAAAGAAGATATCAAACAATTTACAAAAAATTATGAAATAAAAATATTTTGAGTTTGAGTTTAATGGTTGCTTTTTTTAAAGCGACTAGCAATTATTATAAACAGTTTATACTCGTATAATATATATTTTTTACCGAAACTGAGCTCAGCTCCTATTATGGCTTATAGAATGAACATAAAACATCTCGACTAATACAAAAGAGAAAATGTATGCAAACAGATTTTTGCATTAAATGCGACAATCGAACCTGAAGCCTCTACGTTGCATTTTATTACCATCAAGATCAGAATGAAGAGGATGCATCTGATAGGATGTCAAAAAGTTGCCTATCTCGAAAACAAACTATAGATTCAAATAAAGTGAGAATATTAATAAAACCATCTCATGAAAAATATAACATAATATGCAGACGATATGGCGACGTAGAGATTTTACATGTATGTCTTGACCGCCATTTTGATTTTCTTATTCACTATTTTTAATTTTATGAAATTAAAACCTTTTTAAGCTTTAACACGAAAGGTGTATCACTTAAAAGTCAATTTGTTAAAATACTTCAGCCCTTTGGACTCTCAAGGAGCCACCATAAGCATGCAACAGATGTAAAATGTGCTATATTCTCCGTCTTAAAAAGGAAGATTTCTAAGAATAAAGATTTCTCATTTTTTCTACTCGACATTGATCTTAGAAAATTTGCTATGATATCCGCTGGCTGGCCCTCAAAATCTTTTGTAAATCATATCAACAGCCTGTAATAGTCCACTGCTCTACATAAGCCTCTCCTTAGAAAGGAGGTTTTTATAAATAATATTATTTAACTCACTTGGAATAATCCATAATACTTTCGTCTCAAAGATTTCTCGACAAATGCTGAAGTGTTTCTGTCACTCGTTTGCTCTATCAGACATACCCCTGCAATTGGTAAGAAAAATACATCACAATACTGTTGTTTTTTAGCCAGTTTATAACAGAAGTTCATCAATAACAAATAAAATAAGAATTTGACTTTAAATATTCCTGTAGACTTTACGGCAAAATTAACACCCAGACTCAGAACGACAATTCGTGGCTTATACAAAGTGTTGTCCCATGTGTGGATCGAACCCACCACACTCAGTGCAGTACGAAGCGGCGCGAGAAACCACTACGCCATCTATGTAGTATACTAATACAACAGTTGTCAAAACAGTATTAAGTTGCATATCCTTATATGTTATGTTTTTATGCATGTGATCCTGCACATCATCATCACATATCAACAGCCTTTAATAGTCCACTGCTGGACATAGGCCTCTCCTTACAAAGGTGATCCTGCACACCAGTTTAAAATCAAAGTATTGCAACTAATTTATTCAAACCTAAAATGTATGTATATAGTCGCTTATGATATCACCTAAAATGTATTGATATGTATTTATAACATCTCTCTCAAAAAACGATAATTTTTATGATAAATGCCTAGGTTAAAAAAATAACAGTACAATTTTTTTTTTAACTAAACGAAGGTATAAAAAGTGATTCAAAATCAATTTGTATGAATGCAACACAAAATGAGGCCTTAACAAATTACGATATTACTAATTGGAGTGCTTCGAAGTGCATCAATTATGCAAACTTGTCGAGAAAATTAATGTCACTAATAAGATTGACTGATTTTGCATTAGTTGTAAGTAACGGCAGTCCATTTTCTAGAACCTGTTCTTAATAGATATACTCTCAAATAATTTTATAACTTGCCAAGTCTATAAAGGACAGATTTAAGAATTTAAAACTCGTAATCTTGTTATTAGTCTATCAGAGCTATCTAATTTGTTCTTCCTTTGTTGATTTATTCAATAAATAATTAGTATACGTCCTTAAAAAAATCCTCTTCAGAATCAGTTTACACTTCCATTAACGTAAATTTAGGTACACGTAATAATTATAGGTAAACGTATGTATACATTTTCTTATCATAGCAGTAGTCAATATTCTTGCACATTCTCAGTCAAACTGATAAAATATAGAAAAGGAAGAAATTCAAGCCAGCCAACATCTCCTAAACTATTTACCAGGCAAATTCCAGATCGTTACTGATAAAAATCAAGATTAGTTCGGCTCTGTCACAAACTACATTCTTAAATGACTTAAACATCAACTATTTACTTCCCAGGCAAACTTAATTCTTATTAAATTCTTATCGTCATATAAACATTAATATAATTATTACCGTTATCAGCGCGCTTTGCACGTACAGAAACCGCATATTTGATTGACTTGGATGACCTTTTCAACTCATCTCCTGGGTTTGTTTTCATCGTTAATTAAATTGGTCATTAAGATTTTCAAGTAAATAAAATGCCAGTTCAAAATAAATAACTCAACAGTTGATTTTACTCGTATAGGTACTTTAAGCTAGGTACTTTAAAGAAGTTTTCCTAAACATTAGTCCTATCGTTATTTTCGGTAAAACGATTTATTAAGATAAAATATAAAGATAAATATATCTTACACACGGAAGGCTTTTGGCGCTTTTGTAACGTAAACACTCATTTAGATGACTTACCGAGACTATTGACTGCTTCACAGAAAAGAAGTGTTCAGCATTTACTTCGTCGTTTTTTTTCTGAGTGAGTAATCTAACAGGAGGATTAACTGCCCATATTCTGTGAAGGGAGGGGCACTTAAACTTTGAAGAAGTCACACAAGATGAAGGTAGTCACTTACCATATGGTCTACTTGTTTGCCGCCTAGACCATAAAAAAGCAATAGGATTGCCAAAAACATAAAACAGGAGAAGATTAAGGAACAGTAAATAATTACTACATTTTAGGAAAAATGCTCTTTAAAATTTTAAATTCATTACAAAAATATTTCTGTGGTCAAATAATAGGTCTTTACCTATGAAATTGCCGTTTTGTATGCAATAAGTGAAAGTGCTTATTTTTTCAAACTTTTTTATTTCTGTTATTTTTTTATTGCCTTGCACCTGCCGACTATTACTTTTTCCAAAATTTATACAACTTTTTGGTGGGTAAAAAATTCAATTCCCGAGAGGCAGTACAAAATGCCTTTGAAGAGTTTGTTGCCTCCCGTCCAGCTGATTTTTACAAGAAGGGCATCAATAAACTGCCAATGCGTTGGCAACGATGCGTCGATTGCATGGGTGATTACTTCGAATAACAGAAATAAAAAGTTTGAAAAAATAAGTACTTTCACTTATTGCATACAAAACGGCAATTTCATAGGTAAAGAGTTTTTAAAAGAAAGTTTTTAAATCAAAGAAATTCCTAATAATAGGTTATTAGGAATTTCTTTGATTTAAAAACTTTATATCCAAAAATAGTGCATTTAAGCTCTCTTATTCAACTCATAGCTGTAAATTGATTATGTCGCAATAATATCCAGTGACGCGTACCTACCGTTTATATATTTGTGTACATATATTTCCAAAATCCCTACTAACTGATGTCTATAATCTTGAATTTATCACTAACAAATATTTAGTTGTTCCAAATAAACACATCTGACAGTGTTAAATATGACAATTGATAATGCCTAAACACATAACTTTTGTGTTATGTTGCATTGTTTGCTAACTTGTATTGGTGCTATCAGTACCGCGTGACTGCACAGAGAACATAGTTACTGGTAAAAATCTTTGTGTGCAAGGTTCAAGGCTGTGACGTACCTATGTGTTTAAAGTTAATTACTGTCGTTATCCTCACTATAACTAACATATAGTTTAACCTATCTAATTTTTGTTTGGATTGTTCCTTTCCGTTTTTTTTTTACTAATCCTACTACTACCTATTTTACCCCTATTACTACCTATTCATCCCATGGGTGTCGTAAGAGCCGACTAAGGTAACAAATCAGCAGGACAACAGCACTGCAAGGAGAAGGAAAACTTGAAACAAACAATAAACCAACCCGTCTGGCCAAGGTGGTATATTAGGCCAAAACCTCCTTCTAAGGAGATACCTGTGTCTGGCAGTGGACTATTAAAGGTTGTTGATGTGATGTGTTCGCTTGCATAGTAATTTGAAAAAAAGAAAGAAAATTTAAAAACAGCAAATAAACTTAAAAATTAAATAATTGGTAATTTTGTATAGAATTTTCAATTTCACATGACTGAATCGTAATTAAATGACGTATATAACAAGCGTGCTATACAAAACTGTCTCCTCTTCCTACATAACTTTTAATAGATAGCGTTCTAGGTTCGCCTGTCTAGTGGCTCTACACAAATATTATTACGCAGTTGTTTAAAAGTTAGGAACTATATTTTAACTCGATTTTTCAGCGAGAACAGAAGAGTTAGAGAGAAAAGAGGGAAGTCCAGCAGTGGACTGTTAGGGGCTGTTGATGACGTAAGTAGTGACTGTTGCTGACCTCCTCCTCTCAGGTCGTAAGTATATCTTTGTACTAAAAATAGACATCGAAAGATAAAGATCCAATAGAATTAATTCAATTGCGGAATTTTTCGTTCCATTGAATATTACCAATATTCAATGGAATGAAAAACACTACATTAACACTAATTAGCTTTTCATTCCACTATTAGTTAAAATATCACATCTTTTTTGAGATATTTTCACATATTTAATTAAAACAAGTAAAAATTTTAACTTACTATTTTTCTTCTACATAAAAATTTCACAAAGTTTACATTCTACTAGGTGCAAAATATAACAAGGATACAATTAATTCTCTACACGTATACACATCGTCACTATAGGTAAGTTGTTTTTCTAATTTCTCCTATATTAAAAAAGTTATGTAACAATATGAGAGTCCACGAAGGAGAAATAAGAAAAAATACTACGTTGTTATCGAATGATATGAATTGAATACGTATGTAAGAATATGCATATTTGTCTGTTTCATTTCTATGATGTGTGTTATCCTATGCTAGCACACATCAGAGAGGGAGCTGATTTCTTTTTTAGTTTCCTTATAACGCCAATATGCTATTACGAAAATATATCATATTATATAGAGCTGAGTCAGTACCTTTTTATTACAATGAATGAATACTATACTATCTTAAAATTGAATTTATTGTAATATTTGATTTACTACGTTTTACTGATGTAAAGTCTAAAAAACATGCGAAGAACTATTTCAAATTCACTGTTCATGTTTGTTGTAGCTGTTTACTTTTAACTTTGAGTAAAATGAAGTAATTTAGATGTATTTAGCATCGGTAGAATCCTTACACTATCTCGTGCCGTGAGAGATAAACTAGAACTAGCTTGGAAAATCAATATAGCGGTTGTGTGGTATGTTATAGAGTAGTTGACTGTATCATAAATAGAAAACAACGTCCGCCTCATTAAAACAAATATCACAAAACATCTCAGAGAATATATTTATTCTATCTTTTATAACTATTACGAATATAAATCCAATAAACATTGAAATATGTTCTTCAATTGAGTAGTCTAAGATACTGACGTCATAAGTTAGTATTTAGTACAATTTTCATACAAAATTTTCGTTTTGACAAATGATAAAAAGTAACTAATATGACTAAGGTGTCAACTACGATATTCTGTCTTCTTGACAAGTCTGTATTGTGTTTTTAATTTATTACTTGCTATTTTTTTTTCTAAGAAAAACTGAACTTTGGAGTTCGAAAACCTTTTTTCGAACATCGACTTACGTAACTTATTGCAATGGAATATTCTTTAATGGGATATGATAACAAATAACTGAGGATATTTTCATTACCCTTGATGTTATATCTTGTAAACCTTCACGATTTTAAGTGAATGTAAAGTACTAAGTAAGTAGTAGTAAGTTAAATAGTAGTAAATATTTAAAATGGTTAAAACTTAAGTTTTAAATTGTCGCATCTTTTGATTACGTTGGCAGAGCAGTTATTATTTTTTACAGCTTTAAGGGACCAAGTAATGAAATTTTATTTT